AAAATGTCAGGCTTCTGTGATGTAAAAAAAATTAGACAAAGATAAATAATTTCAGAACTTTTTCCACCTTTAATGTAACCTATAAACTGTACAACTCAGTTGAACAACAAACTGAAATCTTTTAGGTGAAGGGAAGTAAAAATAAAAAACTAAAATAATATGGTTGCATAAGTGTGCACACCCTTAAACTAATACTTTGTTGAAGCATCTTTTGATTCTATTAAAGCACTCAGTCTTTTTGGGTATGAGTCTCTCAGCATGACACATCTTGACTTGCCAATATTTGCCCACTCTTCCTTGCAAAAACACTCTAAATCTGTCAGATTCTGAGGGCATCTCCTGTGCACACCCCTCTTCAGATCAACCCACAGTTTTTTGATCGAATTCAGGTCTGGGCTCTGTCTGATCCATTCCAAAACTTTAATCTTCTTCTTGAGAAGCCATTCCTTTTTTGATTTGGATATATGCTTTGAATCATTGTCATTTTGAAAGATGAAGTTCCTGTTCATGTTTAGCTTTCTAGCAGAAGCCTGAAGGTTTTGTTCTAATATTGACTGGTATTTGGAACTGTTCATAATTCCCTCTACCTTGACTAAGGCCCCAGTTCTAGCTGAAGAAAAAAAGCCCCAAAGCATGATGCTGCCACCACCATGCTTCACTGTGGGTATGGTGTTGTTTTGGTGATGTGCAATGTTGTTTTTGTGCCAAACATATCTTTTGGAATTATGGCCAAAAAGTTCAACCTTGGTTTCATCAGACCATAACACATTTTCCCACATGCTTTTGGGAGACTTAAGATGTGTTTTTGCTAAATTTAGCCGGGCTTGGATGTTTTTCTTCATAAGAAAAGGCTTCCGTCTTGCCACTATACCCCATAGCCCAGACAAATTAAGAATACAGATGATTGTTGTCACATGTACCACACAGCCAGTACTTTCCAGATATTCCTGCAACTCCTTTAATCTTGCTGTAGGCCTCCCAGACCAGTTTTCTTCTCGTCTTTTCATCAATTTTTGGAGGAATGTCCAGTTCTTGGTATTGTCACTGTTGCGCCATATTTTCTCCACTTGATGATTCTTCAGTGTGTTCCATGGTATATCTAATGCTTTAGAAATTGTTTTGTACCCTTCTCCTGACTGATACCTTTTAACAATGAGATCCCTCTGATGCTTTGGATGCTCTCTACGGACCATGGCTTTTGCTGTAGGAATGTGACTACGAAAATGTCAGGAAAGACCTACTAGAACAGCTGAACTTTATTTGGGGTTAATCAGAGGCACTCTAAATGATGGCAGGTGTGTACTGACTCCTATTTAACATGATTTTGAATGTGATTGCTTAATTCTGAACACAGCTACATCTCCAGTTATAGGAAGGTGTGTACACTTAAGCAACCACATTATTTTAGTTTTTTATGTTTACTTTTCCCCTATAAAATATTTTAGTTTGTTTTTCAATTGAGTTGTACAGTTTATAGGTCACATTATTATAGGTGTACACACACACGGCCAAAAATATTGGCACCCCTGCATTTCTGTCAGATAATGCACCACTTCGCCCAGAATTGTTGCAATTATAAATGTTTATTTCTTTTGTTTGTATCGATGTGACACAAAATAAAGAGCAAAAACCAAAAGCCAAAACGGACACCTTCCATAAACCCCCCCCCCCAAAAAAATGGACTAGACAAAATTATTGGCACCCTCAGTTTAATATTTGGTAGCACACCCCTTGGAAAAAATAACTGAAATCAATCACTTCCTGTAACCATCAATGAGTTGCTTACAGCTCTCTACTGAAATTTTGGAGCACTCTTCTTTTCCCAACTGCTCCAGGTCTCTCAGACTGGAAGGGTTCCTTTTCTCAACTGCTGTTTTGAGATCTCTCCACAGATGCTCTAATGGATTTAGATCTGAACTCATTGCTGGCCAGTTCAATACTGAAGTGCTTTGTTTTAAACCATTTCTGGCTGCTTTTTGATGTGTGCTTTGGGTCATTGTCCTGCTGTAAGACCAATGACCTCTGATGGAGATCCAGCTTTCTGACACTGGGCCCTACATTGCACACCAGAATTCTTCGGTAGTCTTCTGATTTAATAATTCCATGCACATGTTCAAGAAATCCAGTTCCTGAAGCAGCAAAGCAACCCCAAAACATGAGTGAACCTCCACCATGTTTGACTGTAAGGACTGTATTTTTTTCTTTAAAGGCCTCATTGGTTTTGTAGAATGCTGGGCTTTACCAAAAAGCTGTAATTTTGTTTCGTCAGTCCATAGCACATGCTTTCAAAAGAATTTTAGCTTCCTCAGGTAAGTTTTGGCAAACTCCAATCTGCCTTTTTTATATTTCTGTATCAGCAGTGGGGTCCTCCTGGGTCTCCTATCATAACGTCCCTTTACATTCAGATTGTGACGTATAGTGCGAGCTGACACAGTTGTACCCTGTGCCTGAAGGTCAGCTTGAATTTCTCTGGAAGTTGATTGAGGTTTCTTTATCTACCATTCAAACAGTCCTTCGTTGCAATCTTTGATCAATTTTTCTCTTTCGTCCATATCCAAAGAGGTTAGCTACAGTGCCGTGGGCTATAAACTTCTTGACAATATTGCGCACAGTGGACACCGGAACATTAAGATCTGTTAATTGATACTAGTGACTTTAATTGCAAATGACAGGAACACCACAAACTTGGAATGCAATAATGTCTAACAATTTTGAGAAGGTTCCAATCATTTTACCCAGTCCATTTTTGGGGTTGTGCGTGGAATGTGTCAGATTTGGCTTTTTGTTACTCCACTTTTTTGTGTCACACCAATACAAACAAAAGCATGCCTAAATATTTGTAATTGCAACAATTTTCTGGGCAAAGTGGTGCCTTATCTGACAGAACTTCAGGGATGCCAATATTTTTGGCCATGACTGTGTGTGTATGTGTGTGCATAAGGGAGAGCTGGGGTGGATACTGTAGGTTGGTGTGTCAGCAGGAGGCAGAAAAGAGCAGTACACTGATCTTCCCAGTGAAGAGTTGTGTAGGGGGGCATGTCAGCACAAGTTTTGGCCATTGGATGACAGGCAGACAGACATGCAAAGAACTGACCATGCTGGGAAAAATGTGCTTCTCTACCTAACGTGGTCAGATTTAAATAGGAAAGCTAGGGGGCTGGCAGGATCACCAGGTATTTCACACAATGGAAGAAATGCAATGAGAACAGGATACTTTTTAACATAAGAACGTGGTATAACATACACATATCAGAAATATGAAATGTTACGGTAACATACATTTTAGGTTTTGGATAAATGCAAGTTTTAAGTTATACATAATTTCCTATATTTCTGGTAAGTTGAAGCAAAGAAACCTCTGGACCTGGGTTTACCTGCTGCATGTACCCTATAGTGACTAAAATTGAAAGATTTATAAGTCTGGGCTGAATGTGAGACACTGTAGTGGGTAAAGTGACACAGTATATGAAGGGAACAGCGGGCAAGTTGACCCTCTAATCAAAACTAGAAAATATGTTTTGGCTGGCATTCTGTTTTAAAAGGTTGGTTCACGTTTGCAAAAAACTGCCTATAAATAATGCCCTTAGTATCAGTGTAGGCAATTTACTTACCTTCCAAGTCTGGCCAAAAAACTGCCATAGATGGCATCATCCTGTCTTACCGAAAAAACAAGGAAGGGTTGTAACAGCGCAAACACTGCAAAGTCCTGGGAAATGGTAGTATGGGGTGATCGTGGTATTAGTGGCTACTGTATGAAGAGCGTAGGATTCCGTGTGGCACTGAGGGCAAGGCTTCATAATAAGCTGTAGCAACTTCTGTAGATGAGAAAAAGGAGAGAAGCGCCTTTAAGTGCAATAAGTCTTTTTATTCAAGTCTAAATGTAGAAACACTCACATGTGTGAAGTAATCATAAGCATAAAAACCGTGGTTAACAATAGTTAACGGTAGGGTGGTAACCCGGGTGAAGAGCCGTCATCTCTCTGCGATGTGGGGAGGTCAGCTCTCGGCTGGAACAGCGTGGTGGCTGGAGGGAAACAGCGGTGAGGCCGGCCGGCATGCACGTCCTCCCTCAGAGCCGGATGGAACGCACGCTGGAACGTAGCGGCGGTGTGGCCGTGATGACGTCAGCTCCCAGGGTGCACTGCGACGCGTTTCGGAGCATGCACTGGCCGTGGAAGGCGGAAGTGCACTCCTTTTTCAAGCAACTGCTTGAAAAAGGAGTGCACTTCCGCCTTCCGCGGCCAGTGCATGCTCCGAAACGCGTCACAGTGCACCCTGGGAGCTGACGTCATCACGGCCACACCGCCGCTACGTTCCAGCGTGCGTTCCATCCGGCTCTGAGGGAGGACGTGCATGCCGGCCGGCCTCACCGCTGTTTCCCTCCAGCCACCACGCTGTTCCAGCCGAGAGCTGACCTCCCCACATCGCAGAGAGATGACGGCTCTTCACCCGGGTTACCACCCCACCGTTAACTATTGTTAACCACGGTTTTTATGCTTATGATTACTTCACACATGTGAGTGTTTCTACATTTAGACTTGAATAAAAAGACTTATTGCACTTAGAGGCGCTTCTCTCCTTTTTTCTCATCCTGTCTTACCTTCTTGCTAGGATCTTAAGACACTCCCAGCCCCACCATCACAGGAGCAAGCTCTCGAACCCCTGTACGTGTGGTCCACCTTCTCCACCGGTGCACCATCGTTAATTTGCATCGTGGATGCACACAAAAGTATACGACAAGCACATCTAAACACAGATTTTTTTCTGCCAGTATGAACGAGCCCTAATAGTTAAGAATTTTCACCAGAATATGCATTCAGTTATTTCTTCAAATGTGTTGGCAGAGGTCAAGAAACAAAACATGAATGTGTCATGAAGCAAACAATGCGTCTTTTTAGACTACTTATGTGCAATTTGTTTTATTTAGATTGCTTCATTTTCTGAGTTTTATGAATACTGTATTTAACATTTGACTGTTTTTTTTCTTCATGCAGATTACCATGCCTAATTTCAGCACACTGACTCTTTGCATCACTGCAACCAGCTTTTCCATATCCCAGCTCCTGTTTCATGTAGGCAGCTCTTGGTTCTCAACACGTCTGACTTGTGGCTTCAGCAAACTCAGTTCAAAGCAGAGGATTGAATGGAATTCCAGGTAGTAATGAAAATCACGTGTTCTTGTGGTAATCACTATAACGTGTATTCCGTGTACTGTGTTTGGCTTAGATATTAACTGAGTCTATTTACTTTACTTTCACTGCATGCCTAAAGACCTTTTTTAATTTCTTATTCATTGGTCAGTCTGATAAAGATTATGCCATTTTCAAAAATAGTTTAATTCTCAAAAATTTAAATTTTCAGAACGATCTCTTTCCTTTGGTATAGTTGGTCTGATTCGCAACTAAGTGTCTAAACCCTCGGTCACATCAAAGCCGATTTTGAAATTGTGCGTCCTGCCGATTTCAGTTGCGATTTGCAAGACATCTGACACAGATGTCTATGCAAATCTCAACAAAAGTAGTGCATGCACTACTTTAGAAATCGGTGCGGCTCCGACCAAGTCAGAACTGCACTGATATGACTGACCGAACTAATAAGGGACAATAGTGTGCGACTTGGCATATGATTTTCAAATCGCAGGGCATGCAAATCACATGCCAAGTCACACCCGATGTGACTGGGGTGTAACTGTCAATGTACTCTTTATGATACTTTTTTGTACTTGAGTCTTCCTTCTAACTTACTTATCTGCCCATCTGTTTTCTGTCACAGTTAAAGAAAAGAAAAAAGAGAATAGAAGCATGATTTTTTAAGGTGCTATAGTCCATTAACCAGAATAATACTGGTAAAATATGATAATATTTATTACACATCCATGTTACGCGCTTCCCCGCCACCCTATAGCAGAAATACTGCTACAGGGCGGCAGGGCTGCGCAAAATCACGTATATATGTGTGATTTGAATTACTGGGTAAGGGGCGCACACGCTGCCATTGGTGGCTAGAGATGTTGATCACTGGGTCCCAGCCGGAGATTCCCCACCGGTATCTGGCGATTGCCGGGTAACACTGACAGGGGAGAGACCTGTGTGTAAACAACAAAGGTCTCTCTCCTGCCAGCAGTAACATGCTGCTGTGTATTTATCTGCACAGAAGAGAAATACACAGCAGCATGTTTCCCAAGTAAAACACACACAGCACATTATGTAAAACAGCACACAGTTAACCCTTTGATCTCCCCACATGTTAACCCCTTCTTGCCTAGTGTGATTAGTACAGTGTCAGTGCTTTTTATTAGTGTCATTAGGATGTCGGTGGCAGTTAGTTGGTTCCCTCCCTTGTGTCAGAATGCCTGCCGCAGGCCCACTATAAGTCGCTGATCGCCTCCATTACTAGTATAACATTTTTTTTTTTAAATTCCAGTATATATACCGCCATTTGTAGACTCTATAACTTTCATACAAACCAATTAATTTACATGTATGGGGGGGTTTTTTTTGCAAACACATGTAGCAGAATACATTTTGGCCTAAATTTATGAAGAAATTTGATTTTTTTAAATTTTTTTTACTGGTTATGTTTTATAGCAAAAAGTCAAAAATACTGTTTTTTTTTTTTTTTTTCAAAATTGTTGGTCTTTTTTTTATAGCACAAAAAAATTTAAATGCAGTAGTGATCAAATACCATTGAAAGAAAGCTCTATTTGTGGGAAAAAGGGACATAAATGTCATTTATGAACAGCGTTGCATGACCGTGCAATTGTCAGTTAAAGTAACGCAGTGCCGTATCACAAAAAAATGGCCTGGTCAGGAAGGGAAGTAAATCCTCTGGAGAGCAAGTGGTTAAAGACATCCAACATTTTACAAAATTGTTCTCTCATTAGTATCCACAGTGATTGTTATTATTGTTGACAACTGCTCTATGCAAATATATTCTACGTGTTTCACTGCATGGCTTCTTCAGTAAGTATGCATTTAATGATCCATATCCCGGCCAGCCAATCCAAAGACTCATCCACATCAAAGGAGCGCTAGTCTGTATATGTCACTGGTTCTTGTAACCGCCATGACTGTGGCCGTTGCAGGAAACCAGTGTCATATACAGATTGGGCCCTTAATTGAAATGTATCAGGCCTGATTTGTGACACTTTGGTTTTCTTTAAATAGAATTCTTTAAATAACACTTTTTGAAGTTACTCTCATGCTGGCATACTTCCTCTGATCTTTGGATCAGCTGACCTGGATATGGTTCCTTAAATGCATACTTCTTGAAGAAGCCATGCGACAAAATAGAAGATATTGCATCGAGGAGTTGTCAACAATTATAACAACCACTGTGGACACTAATGAGAGCAATTTTGTAAAATGTTGGATGTTTTTAATATGGATGTGAAATAAATATTATCATATTTTAAAGTATTGTTCTAGTTAATGGACTATAGTAGCTTAAAAATCACGCTCCTATTCTCTTTTTTTTTTTTCTTTTGTTTAGATTTTTAGGGGATGTGGTGCAATTTTGTTATGTTCCTTTCTCCCACATAGATTTCTTGGTAATTTTTCACAGTTAAAGGTTCATGTTCACTAACCCATTTGAAAACCCACCCCCTAAAACAAATTTAGTAGCGGCCATGTGTTTTTTTTTTTTTTTTTTTTTTCTTTTCCGGCTTCTGGCTGTAATGTACAAGTTATCCAGATAACTATATAGCCACTCAATCACTTTTAGTGTGTTAGTAGTTTTGCGTTCTTCTCCTCTACCTTCCCTCCCAGGATGGTGAGTGGGAGAAGATTAGGGAACATCTCTTCCCTAATCTCCTGTGCTGTCTATGATGTCTATGAAGCAGTTAGCCCTCTGCTTTGAGTGTTTCCGATTTCATAGCTGCCATTCCCCATCTGCTGTGGTCAGGAAAACAGCTAATCAAGCATGATCTGTGCTTGATTAGCTGCATTGGAGGGTAGGGGAGACAATTGAGGGGTCTAACTGACCCCTGATGTCTCAGAAAAGACCTGTCACCTGACCAGTGCTATCACATAGAGGTCTTGTTAGCCCCCTTGTGATAGCAACAAATGTAAAGTGGTTCCAAAGAATCATTTTTATTTACCTAATATAAAAAAGCATGGTATACTTACATGCTCTGTGCTGTGGTATTGCACAGAGTGGTCCCAAACCTCCTCTGGGGTCCCCCACTGGTGCTCTCTGCTCTTCCTTTTTAGTATCTGCCCCATAGCAAGTTCTTTGCTATGTTGGAATATGTACAGGCTCACTCCCAAGCTGGGCTGTGTGTGTACATAGACATACACAACGTAGCTCAGTCCCATGTCCCTGCTCTCTGCTTGCAAGATTTGATTGACTGCAGCAGGAGCCCATGGCTTTTGATGCTGCCTCTGTGCCCTATGAATGCAAGGGGAGAGCTGCTACAGATAGGCACAGTGCTGGATCGAGTAAAGTATTTGGTGGGGGGAACCACTTTAAATGGGGAAAAAAGTAAAAAAAAAAAAAAAAAAATTAACAAGCTTTAATAGTAAAAGCAATAATTCTAGGTTTCTCATTTATGGTTTACTCTAAGTTAACGAGCAGTAAAGGCATTTAAAGTGTAGCCTGTTGATAATTATGGGTGTCATCATTTTTTGCCATGTTTCAGGCGCATGTATTATTGAGGCTTGATACATTTGATATCTATTTACTCTATTCTACCTCCTTGTACAAAAAATGGGGAATTAATTGTTTGTGTTCAATAAAATTCATTTTAGATAAATAGTTGTGCAAATTTTGTGCAACATAAAAAATTGCAACTACTGTCTTTCTATTCTACAAGGCTTCTGCTTTCAGAACCTATATAGTATTCTGGGGTTTTAAGTAATCTTATAGCCAAAAATGCAGACTTTAACATGAGTGCAAAAATGGAAAATTGCTGTGCAGGGGAACTAGTTAACCTCCAAGCTGCTCCCTAGGCTCTGGGCTGTGGGCAGTCCCTTGGTGTCATCAAAGGCAGTGCAGGGCTGTTAACCCTGTTTGGTAAGCGAAGTGCCACTGAGGCCCAAAGTGCCTTAGAGATGAGGCAATGCAGGACCGGTCTCACAGATCAAGGTGGCCTGCCAGAGCCGGGAGTAAGGTAAGCATTACTCCACCCCAAGACTTAACAAGCAGTTAACTCATGCAGTGCAGTGGGGCTCCTTTGCAAGGTATATTTTGCCTCTTTTCAGGAGTTCAGCTTTAAAGAGGTGCAAGGTCGCACGGCTGTGTTGTTAGCATGCTTGTGACAATTGTACTCTTATCGCTGACTGGTTACACTGTCCTCTTGTGCCATATGGGATGGTAATTTGGTTTCAGATTATCAGGGAACTTCCGAAGCTTTATAATAAGGCATTTCTTGGCCCGGCTTTCCCTGCAATGCACAAATGCTTTTCAGCTTTATATTTCACTGACTGGTGTCCCTGGGTGTAATCTAATGCGTGCAGAGAGAATTTAAAATAGCTTTCCCCTCTTTCTTGGCAACCAGGCGAGTTAATGTGGCCCTTTGTGGTAAAGCGTTACAAGGGAAAAGAAGCTGATTTAGAGAAGCTCATGGATCAAGATTTACTAAAGGAGGTTATTATAGTTATCATCATACTCCCTAGAAGGGATGGAATAGTCTCATTCAGTAAAAATTCCTTCTTATATTATCTCTGGGATCTAAACATCGCACAAATCCTATTGAAGTGTTGAAGGGGATTTGAAGGTTTTTTACCTTAATGCATTAAGGTAAAAAAAAAAAACACTTTTTATTATCTGTGAAAGTTAGGCAGAAGTTAAAAAAAAGGTTAATAAAAATTAATTAGATAAAGACTAAAAAGCCTATGGAATCAGAAGGAAAGCGTCATAGAAGTGGTAATTGTCATAGAAGTAATTGCTTTAGAAAACTAGGATAATTTTATTTAAAATAACTTAAAGCTAAACTTCAGGCAATCATCTAAGTACACAGATGAAATACAAGGGAACAGCCTTACCCGCCAAGGGATTTGTATGCTTTTCCAACCACTTCTGAGATTTACTCAGCTGTCTGATAGAGAGATAGTTCCACAGAAGTTACAGGTCTTGTCCTCTCTCAGCTTGTGACTGGACAGTGAAAGGAGAAGCAGCAGAATGATGAGCTCCTCTTTCTGTCACTCTTTCTCCTTTATCAGCATATTCCTTGTCCGCACATGATCTAATTGGCTCCTGGTGCTCCTTCCCCCTGTCTCAAGTCAAATTCAGGATTCACTACTTGCAATAAAACAAACTATGAATGATGATGTATTATTGAATACTGAGTTGCATGAATTTGTGCCTTTTTCTATTTTGGAGTTCAATTTTATGAAGGACATTCATCATCCATTAATCAGTACTGCTTTGATCTAAAAAACAGGGTAGATCTTTAGAAAGCTTGTCCAGAAAATAATTGTTAGTGCAAATGAAAAAGTATCACGTTTAGTACTCAACTGTTTCATTACAAGTGCATTAATACAACTATAATCCTCTTTATCTGACATTGAGTTCTTTCTTCCTCAGGACAGTATCGACGTTCCATGCACTGGTAGTTGGATGTTTCTGCTTGTATATTTTACTGTACGATGATGCTGTCAATGCTGACCCAGTTTGGTAAGAGGTGCTATCTTTTGATCATTTTCATACATAAAACATGAAAATGACCAGGAACTATGAAGTGTTTGTATGTCAAGGTCCCAATCATTACAAATGATCAACCTTTCTTTTTTGTACAAAATATAACTTTGGTACAGTTACATTTATATCAGAGCACTCTGCATCAGGGCCAACGATGTACTCTACAATCTCTTGAGAATTCATTAGATTGCACAGTGCAGGCGTGGGTAGATTTTTGGCAAGCGACCAGGTGATCTAGGCAGCAATGTCTTGCAGGTATAATCAGCTGTCACACTGGAGAATAGAAGACATGGGTGCTCTGATATATGTGTAAACATGCATTTACACTTTAATTCTTATCTCCAGGATATTTCCATTGAGCATATTGGATAATTCACAAGCCTGTAAAGTCCTTACGGAAAGCTAGTTTGAAAGTAATATGTTGGTTGAAATTGCTGACCTCTCCTTTTCAAAATGCTTGTTGTCTGGCTTTCATTGGTACTTTCCAAATTAAGAAATATTAATCATGGAAATGAGGTGTTCTGCCTTCTTTTGCTGTATAGGTATTCAAGGTCAGTTGATCAGAAACAACATGTCAAATGGCATTTTCAGAATAAGGTCAGAAATGGCAATCCCTATGTATTCCCTACTGTATTTCAGGAACAAGAAGTTTCTTTTAAATTTTATTTGGACATGATGTTTATAATAAAGGACCACATTAGAAAAAAAAAAATGATATTCTGGTTATGATAGTAATCAGCATATGAAATTGTCAACTCAAAAGAAATAGTCAGTGCTAGGGAAAAAAGAGAATATTTATGCAGTTAGCAAATAAGGTAAGTCAGTCTCCCATTGAAGTACTGACCAGGCCTGACCCTGCTTAGCTTGCAAAATCAGGCATGTGCAAGGCAGCTAGCAAGTAAGGCAAGTATACAAACCTCAAAATAAAATGTGAAAACAAAAGTGCAGTGCCTAAGTGATCAAAAATGAATATAACACTCTTATAATAAAAAAACAAAGTGTGAATAATATACTTATGACAAAAATAACCAACAAAAAATATGACTTTAAAAATTGCATAAAAGGTCTCACAAACGTGACTTTTCTTAGTGGTAAATAATAACTTCAACAGTTGTCCCTTTGTAGTATCCATCCAACAGGCCAATTATATATCCGATTGTGTTGCTCCAAACTGCCACCTTTACACGCTCACCAGCTATTAAGCTGCATCAGAAAGGCAGCATACAGGGTATCACAGTATGGGAATCTTATCCACATTATAAAATATCAAGCCTAGGAGTAGCGTTCACCATCCTGGAGCCACAGAAAAAAGTATATAGTGGGGCAGCACAGTGGCTAAATGGTTAGCACTTCCGCCTGGTAGTACCAGGGTCGCTCGTTCAAATCCCAACCGCGGCACCACCTGCCTGGAGTTTGCATGTTCTCCCTGTGACTGCGTGGGCTTTCTCCCGGGTACTCCGGTTTCTTCCCACACTCCAAAGATGTGCTGGTAAGTTAATTGACTTCTGTCTAAATTGTCCCTAGTATGTGTATGTATGAATGTAAGTTAGGGACCTTAGATTGTACGCTCCTTGAGGGTTAGGGACTGATGTGAATGTACAATATATGTATGTAAAGCGCTGCGTAAATTGATGGCACTATATAAGTACCTGAAATAAATAATAAATAAATAAATATAGTGTAGTAATTTATTTAGAAAATCAGCTTCTATCCACCAATTAAATCCATTAAAGTGACACTAAAACTTAGTTTAAAAAAAATAATAATAAACATGTCTATACTTACCTGCTCTGTGCAGTAGTTTTGCACAGAGTAGCCCTGATCCTCTTCTTTTCGAGCCCCCTGCCGCCGCTCCTCCCCCTTGAACAGTGCCCCCAGGGAAAGCTGCTCGTCCTGGGGGTACCGCTGTGTGCTCATCCCCAAGCCACTGCTCTATGCATCCATAAGACACATAGAGCCTGCACCATAACCCCCGCTCTCTCCTAAATGGCTCACTGGCTGTGATTGACAGCAGAGGGAGCCAGTGGGCTCCCACTGCTGTCCCGGCCAATGAGGAGGAAGTGTCCCCAGATAGCAGAGGCTGTCGAGAATGTCGCTGGATCAGAGGGGGCTCGGGGGGGGGAGGGGAGGGGGGTGTTGGGGGGTGGCATTGCACACAGAAGTTTTTTTACCTTCATGCATAGAAGACATGAAGGTAAAAAAAACCTTGAGGACCCTATGGTCATCATATCTGGGCTCCCACAGTACAAAGAACATGGAAATGCAATTATTTTAGTAAATATAAACTGCTAAATACCTTTTCTCTTTCACAGTATAAAGCAGTCTTGTTGCTTCTATCAGTGTGCAGCTGAGCACTGGTTAAAGCTTGTAGGAGGAGTTTTCATTCTGCCCTGACTGTCCTATGAGGCTGCATAATCCTCTGTCTGGACAGTGCTGATTGGTCTTGTGCTGATCAAATGCACCCAGCCAAATAAAGGAAAATTCTCTAGAAATACACACTAAACTGAGCATGTGACTCCAGGACTTTGTACTATCACCATATGGATTGGGGACAGTAGAAGAAAGTAGGGATCAGAGAAGACAGAATCAAACAGCCTTTTTACACAATGTGGTGGATTAACCCCTTAGGTTCTACAGTGAGCATAACAATGATGCTTTATTGCATATACAGACTGATTTGACTGTTTTATTGTTGTGTTTAGTAACACTTTAATAAAGACATTGCTGCACTAAGGCCCTGTGCGCTCTCTCTTTCCTTTTGTCTATGCTGGCTGTTATCCTTAACGAATTAGGGTTGCATGCCTGGATGATTTTTTTTTCCTGTTCGGTTGCAGCCAGGGATGAGTCATGAATCAGCCTGCATATACAGCTGACCCAGACCATGGTGTTACTTTTGGGGGGAATATTGGCAGAGAATCCAAGCCTGTAAGGACATAGGAGGTGAGACAGACCAGGAGTCTACTGGACTGTCATTCTAAAGACACTGCCTCTATTGGCGAATTAGACCGTTCGTCTCAGACTCACTGGTCCACCTGCTACAGCGAGCAGGGATTTTGCATCACTACCTGCTTGCTGTACAAAGAACTATAGCGGGGATGTGACAACACCGGTGGCCAGTTGAATACAAGGAATAGTGGCCACAAGTCTTACAAAACAGAGGTCGGAAGGAAATAACCCAGTAAAAAAAAATGCATCTGCTATATCTTAGAAACTACACAACCAACCTGAAAATGGACTACATATTTTTGGAAGGTAGGAAAGCAGCATTAAAAATAAGTAAAAACGTTTATGCCCAAAGTTCTGCTTTAAGCTTTGACAAAAAAGACCTGGAAGCTGATTGGCTTTTGTGCACAGCTGCACCAGATTTTGCACTCTACAGTTTTAGTAAATCAACTCTACTGATAGACCAACAAGCTCCTTCAGTACCCATGCAGGGAAGATAACTGTGGTAAGAACAAACTTGGCAAAAGTATTCATAAGTAACAAACCAAAGTGGGTCACCATTCAAAAATATATTGAGCTTGGCCCAAGTTGTCATTGCTCAGGTTTTATTTAACCATGCCCTTTAAGACCCTCCCGCTGTTTGTGCAACTTGGCAACACCCAGCCATTGGTGTGGCACACTCACACATTCCAATTTACTACAGGGTGCCAAACCCATTCTCTGAAAAAAAATTGCCTTGCTTACCCTAACCCCTGCTCTGAAAGGCTTCAGTGCTGTCCTCTTCTTTTTGAAGCTCCAGTGTGTGGATGGTTCCTTGTCATCACACACAATGCAGGGGTTATAACAATGGTTTGTGGAGGAGCAGGCGTGCAATCACAGCCAGGAGCACCTTGCAGTAGATTCTTTGTAGGACTGGTCACAGCAATGGTGGGAGTTTGCTGGATCAAGGAATAAGGTTTTACACTTTTATTAATGTAACCCTAATATGCATTTAACCTTTGTAGATCTCCATGGCTCACTGCAAGGGTAGATTTTTCGTTTTGTTGAGTTGGGCTTTTAGAACAACTCCCGAATATCATGCTACCATCAATAATAAATCAGTCACTTTCTTGTGATAATCATATGCAGAGCTTGCATCTAATTCTTTATATTTACATTTTTTGTATCGATCTGCTTTTTTTGCTTTAGAGAGGTTCAAATTTGCTGACTTACAATTTGTTTTATGAAACTGCAGCAAATACACTACACATATGATTCCAATGACAGCTGCTTCTAAAAAATGTTTCATGCTTCCTTTCTTCCGTAACTGATTAAAATGCATTTTTTTCATTCAGGCCAAAACAAACTTTTGAAATTCTGTTGCTTTTTAATTTTAAATTTTTTTTCTATGAAGAACATATCAACGTAAAATTAGTTAGTTTAAAAATATTTAGATTTTCAGTTAACATAGCAGAGGGGCTTGGGCATTGAAAAATAACAAAATCTTCTTTTATTGATACTTTTTTAGTGGAAACAATTTAACAAATCAGTTACTGTAAGTTTTTTGGGTGACTCATTTCCAGTAATTTGGATGACAGCTGTTGTATGTAAGATGATCATGTTTTATCACCCTTCTCACAGTACTGAATAATATATTGCGTACGCATACCTTTGCATAGAATCGTTTTAGCAGATAATTTATAATCCACTGAAAAATGAATTGTCGCTATTATATATTTAATAAATGATCTCTGGATCACTTTCTAAAGACCTTCAGTACGAAAAGGAAAAAGATCTGTGACCAATTGATAAGGTGCATGTGGATAACTGCAAGATGGTAAAGAAAAAGTATAATGATTAATCACTAACCAAGGCACAGTTAGCTTGTTTCGAATATTTGAAAGAAATCTTGCGAGCCAAAGGATAAACAAAAATTTCTAATGTTGGATCGCAAACCTCTAGCACATAACTACCAATGTGAAAAACGTGAAATGAAAATATATATATAGTGTTGCGCTCTCAACCCTTCAATCAATATATATAAAAAGAATTATTAATGTGTATTAATAAACATAAATACTTATACTTTTGAATCTTCTGAATCAACTCAGATAAACCATGTGCATAGGGCAGTGATAAATAAACAAGAATATAAAAAAATATATAAAAATAATATATATAGTATATATATATAATATATTATATAATATATGAAATTAATGTCCCAAAAAGTGACTTTGTGCTGGAAAAATCTTCAATAGCATTAAATCGGTGACTGCTTGTGACTCCTCCCTCAAGTGAAGATATGCGCTCACCTCATAGGTAGCCTAGCCTGCAATTAGGCTATTAAAGCTTGCGGTTCACCTCCTTTGGAACCTGCTTGTTAAGAACTCCTGTTACAAGATATCCATGGAATGCGACATATACTATGGAATAAATCTCCTCTCATAGGGTGCGATTCCTCTATTTTTTCGTCTCCATGCAGTTCTTTTTTCATCAGCAGTTACAGCAGTTTTGTGACTTCTATCAGTGTCCAGCCAAGCACTGGTTGAAGCTTGTAGGAGGAAAAGCTGATTGGTTTCTCTGCAGAGCTGCACCAGCTTTTGCACTTTCCAGGTTTAGTAAACCTGGAAAGTGCAAAAGCTGGTGCAGCTCTGCAGAGAAACCAATCAGCTTTTCCTCCTACAAGCTTCAACCAGTGCTTGGCTGGACACTGATAGAAGTCACAAAACTGCTGTAACTGCTGATGAAAAAAGAACTGCATGGAGACGAAAAAATAGAGGAATCGCACCCTATGAGAGGAGATTTATTCCATAGTATATGTCGCATTCCATGGATATCTTGTAACAGGAGTTCTTAACAAGCAGGTCCAAAGGAGGTGAACCGCAAGCTTTAATAGCCTAATTGCAGGCTGCCTATGAGGTGAGCGCATATCTTCACTTGAGGGAGGAGTCACAAGCAGTCACCGATTTAATGCTATTGAAGATTTTTCCAGCACAAAGTCACTTTTTGGGACATTAATTTCATATATTATATATAATTATATATATATACATATATTATTTTTATATATTTTTTTATATTCTTGTTTATTTATCACTGCCCTATGCACATGGTTTATCTGAGTTGATTCAGAAGATTCAAAAGTATAAGTATTTATGTTTATTAATACACATTAACCAATTCTTTTTATATATATTGATTGAAGGGTTGAGAGCGCAACACTATATATATATTTTCATTTCACAGTTAGCTTGTTACCAGCCTATTTGTTTACTGGTTTAACAAATGCAGAAAACTCCAGTATCTTGACACCTAGCCTACAGGGCACTTATACCCCCTTCCTGCCCAGGCCAATTTCCAGCTTTCAGCGCTGTTGCACTTTGACAATTGCACGGTCATGCAACAATGTACCCATATGAAATTTTTATAATTTTTTTGTGACAGAGCTTTATTTTTGGTGGTATTTAATCACCTCTGGGTTTTTTATATTTTCTTAAACAAGCCAAAAACCACTGAAAATTAAAAAAAAAAAACTTTTTTCTTAGTTTTTGTTATAAAAACTTTGTAAATAAGTGATTTTTTCTCCTTCACTGATGTGCGCTAATAAGGCTGCAGTGATGGGCACTGATGGACACTAATAGGTGGCACTGATGAGGAGGCACTGGTAGGTGCCACTGATGGGCATTGACAGGCATCACTGATGGGCACTGAAAGGCAGCACTCATATATGGCACTGATAGGGGGCACTGACTGGCACCATTATGTGGCACTGACTGGCACTGATAGGCGGCACTGATGCACACTGATAGGCGGCACTGATGCACACTGATAGGCGGCACTGATGCACACTGATAGGCGGCACTGACTGGCACTGATAGGTGGCACTGACTGGCATTGATAGGTGGCACTGACTGGCACTGATGGGTGACACTGAAAGGCAGCTCAGATGGGCACTGATATGTGGCATTGATGTGGCACTGATTGGCACTGAAATATGGCACTGATGGGCACTGGCAGGTGACATGGATGAGCACTGAGAGCTGGCCCTGATGGACACTGACAGGTGGCGCTGCTGGGGCTACACAGATCATCAAGGCACACTGATCATCAGTGCTCTGATGATCTGTGTACATGTCCCCTCTGAGGAATGCCAATTACCGGTTCTCCTCTCCTCACGAGCTGTCAGCGTGATAGCTCATGGGGAGAGAAATGCCGATAACCGGCATTTCCCTGTTTACATGTGATCAGCTGTGATTGGACACAGCTGATCACATGACTGAGCTTACATCTTCGGCTCTTTCCGTGGATCGGTGATTGGTGCACTGCCGATCGCCACGCTCCGGGAGCCGCGCATGCGCGGTGAGAATGGAAGGACGTCATGACGTCCTCCCTGAACGAGAGAACCACCTTGCGTCCGTCATATTACTATATGGCGGGTGGGAGTCGGTTAAAGTGGTTATAAAGCCTAACTATTTTTTACCTTAATGCATTTTCTTGTATCGGTATCCCTCTACACACCCCCTTTTTACCCAACTGAGCCCTCATTCGAACCAGCGCTCGCTGTGCACATCTGCAGCTCTTCTCTCCCCTCAGTTCCGGGTCTCACAGCTTTGCTGGGACTCCGGGAGCCATTGGCTTCCATTGCTGTCAATAAAAGCCAATGATGAGGGAGTGGGGGGGTGGAGACGGGGTTGAATCCCGTTATCTGTGTCAATGGACGCAGCATTGGGGACGTGGGAAAAAGCAAGCACAAGTACCTCCATGGGAAGCAGCTTCCTATGGGGGCACTGGACAGAGAGGAAGAGCCAGAAGCTCTGCCGGTGGATCCAAGAAGAGGAGGTTGCTCAGAGCAGGTAAGTATAACATGTTGTTGGTTTAAAAAATAAATTATACATACTCATACAGTACAGGGCACAGACTGGATATTATTAGGCTTTGGGTTATAGGCTCCTACCTTGAGGTGATTGGACACAGACAAAGCTTTTTCTATGAGACCTCAATTTTTTGTTATTTTCCTGTATTTCCCTTATGGAGAAGCTTCTTTGCATAACTAGTTCCTATTTACTTTAAATTCTACAAATCAATTCTTCAATCAGCCTCTTTACTGCCTTGTACTACAACAATAGAAGCAGTGCATCCGGAGCAGTGTAGACTGGGTAAAACCTTGGGAATTATACTCAGACCCTATGTGGTTGTGATGGCCTGCAATGTTGCTCTGGGTCCTGGATCCTGCTTGGGCATTCACTTTGGCACTCATGTGCAACATGTATAGTTATCTGCAGGATGCTATACAAGTCCTGTGCCATGGTCCCAGACACTGAGATAGGAAAAGTCTGGACCCATGCAATGACCAGTGACATAAATGTAGGACAGCACAGTGACTAAATGGTTAGCACTTCCACCTGGCAGTACTAGGGTTCTTAGTTCGAATCCCAGCCACGGCACCACCTGCCTGGAGTTTGCATGTTCTCCCTGTGCCTGCGTGGGTTTCCTCCGGGTGCTCTGGTTTCCTCCCACACTCCAAAGACATGCTGGTTAATTGGATCCTTTCCAAATTGGCCCTAGTATGTGTATGTATGAATGTGAGTTAGGGACCTTAGATTGTACACCCCTTGAGGGTTAGGGACTGATGTGAATGTACAATATATATATGTAAAGCGCTGCGTAAATTGACGGCGCTATATAAGCACCTGAAATAAATAATAATAATAATGTAGAAACTACTTAAAAGTATGGGTTTTTTTTTTTCTTTTTCAACCATACTTATCTAGCTGGATGCAGTATCTCCCTGCTGCTCTGCAAAGAGAGCAGTCTGCTCTGCCCACCCCAGCGCTCACTGGAGCTCTGGGCTGTGGAGGTGGCGGGAGCAGCTGGTTTAGGCTTTCAGCAGCTTGCTGAGAGGCTGAGCCAAGTGCCGGGATCTTTCCCCAGCCCACTGTCGGCTGAAATCGGGTCACAGGAGTGCAGAACGAACTGCACTCTTGTGATCCATAGAAGTACAGCCAAATAGGCTTTTGCTCTACTTCTTCTTTAAGGAAAACACCACTTTTGTTAAAAGAAAAAACAAAAAAATGTATATTTGCAACAGAATGTATTCTGTAATTTATTTTTTTATAAAAAAATATCTTTTTAAGGTGCAGCCATTAATCTATCTGAAACTGCCAAAATAGGACTTCCATGGGGATTTTTGCACCATGCATTCAGAATGATTCCAGATTTGTAATTTTCAGTTCCAGTGCTAGCCTTGTTCAGCAGGATTCTGCTCATGCTACACTGGAGCTGACCATCTGACATCAACAGGCAGACTCTCCCACTGAGTTCCCAGGAAGTAGTAATAAGAATGTATGTGTCAATTAAAAAAGACATGATGTTTATTTCTATGTCAGAATACAATATAAAAGGACAAATACCCCCCCCCCCCCCTTTCTCTACACATTCACCATATCAAACTGAAACTGTCTGTTGAGGTCCTGGGTAATGGTGTCAAAAGTACTCCTTAGCCCTCAGAATGGAAGTTGGGTTGTCTACAGAAAGTGATTGTGGACATGTGGTGTTGAGAATGGGAAAAGGTGTCATGTGGATTCTCAAGTATTGGTTGTGTGGGTTTCAAGTGTAGTACAGTTGACATAAGTTTAGGAGGTGGGCTTGTTTTTGTGAACCCTTCATATTTGGACCAAGGCCCGCATGTTGAGTGTTTCTCTCCCCCATGCCAAAAAAAGTTGCAAAAAAGATTTAATAAACACTATACATAATATATTTATATATATATATATATATATATATATATACCCACCTTTCCTCCAGCTTCCATTCATAGCACCTAAGTGGGCATGACATCCTCCACCCTTTGGCAAAGATTTTGGGAAAGCTCAATCCTCACAAAAACACATGTCTGCACTGTGTTTAAGCATCATCCTGTGAGGTTCAGGCTACTCAGCATTGCTGGGATAGTACTAAGAGGATGACATCACCCAGTGCAGTATGGAAGCAAGGGGAAGGGTAGGTATATTTATTAACTGCTTTTTTCTCACTTCACAAACATCTAGCTATGTAGATATTCTTTTTGGAACATGTTGAAATGATCTATGTGTGGTTTTATATTTTTTCAGGGGAGATCCATACTTGGTCAAGCTGAATGTTGCAATAACCTCAGGCTACCTCATCTCAGGTAACTACATGTTACAGCTTGGGGGTTTATTTTCACCAGCGTCAAAAAACGCCAGACAACCTGAGCTGGGCATATTTAATCTGTGCAGTTGGTGAAAAGACTATTCTCTATGGGGAATGGAAAACACTCATAAAGGGGTTAGTAGTACATTTCCAGTGAGTTTTCAGAAAATAATACTCTGTGCTTATTCTCTATAAAACTAAATAGTGAGTGGAAATGAACACCATAAAGAAAGAACAAATACCCATTGCACTAATCAACATTTATAGTAAAGATCAAAGGGATCCCTGTTTATATAACACATAAAGTGAATACATAATAAAATGAAGTAGAAGACCCTTATTATCCAGTATTCTTACTCTAGCCATACACTGTTCAAAATGTAGCTAGTTCAGCACGGACCGGACGAATTTTGATCAGTGCATGGCTTACCCTGTTTAACAGAAGTTGATCATTTGATTGACTTCTGTAGAAGGCACATGTTGAGAAACTTGTATTCAATCAGTGTATGCTGCCATTGGCAGGTTCAACTGTTCGAATACAATGTCCCAACAGGGGGAAGATTCCTTCCATCCACCTTGTTTGAGTGGAGGGAGGATTCTATCTATGGTCAGCTTTGCTAAATAAAATATTTTAAAACAGAATGCTCATACAGAGTCTGAACAACCCCTGTCAGCCATGTGGTTAGACATTGATGAGGCAGTGGCTGCTCTGGTCAGCAACATGTCACAGATGGTAATTTGTTACATAGTGTCTAGACAGCAGATATCCAGTATGCAACCCATAATAGAAACATGGTTCTTAAACTTCAAGAATATACACTCACCGACCACTTTATAAGGTACACCTTGCTAGTACTGGGTTGGATCCCTTTTGCCTTCTAAACTGCCTAAATTCTTTGTTGCATATATTCAACAAGGTGCTGGAAACCTTCCTCAGATTTTTGTCCATATTGACATGATAGCATTACACACTTGCTGCAGATTTGTCGGCTGCACATCCATGATGCAAATCTCCCATTTCACCGCATGCCAAAGGTGTTCTATTGAGATCTGGTGACTGTGGAGGCCACTGGAGTACAGTGAACTCATTGTCATGTTCAAGAAACCAATGTGAGATGATTTGAGCTTTGTGACATGGCACACTATCCTGCTGGAAGTAGCAACAATACTCTGGTAGGTCGTGGCATTTAATCGATGCTCAATTCATACTAAGGGGCCCGAAGTGTGCCAAGAAAATATCCCCCACACCATTGCACAACCACCACCAGCCTGAACCGTTGATACAAGGCAGGATGGATCCATGCTTTCATGTTGTTTACACCAAATTTTGACCCTACCATCTGACTGTCATAGCTAAAATCGAGACTCATCAGACCAGGCAACGTTTTTCCAATCTTCTATTGTCCCAATTTGGTGAGCCTGTGCAAATAATTTCCTGTTCTTACCTGACAGCAAGGTGTTGGAAACATTCCTCAGAGATTTTGGTCCATATAGACATGAGTTACTGTTGCCTTTTCTATCATCTCGAAGCAGTCTGCCCATTCTCCTCTGACCTCTGACATCAACAAGGCATTTTCGTCCACACAACTGCCACTCACTGGATATTTTCTCTTTTTCCGACCATTCTCTGTAAACCCTAGAGATGGTTGTGCATGAAAATCCCAGTAGATCAGCAGTTTTTGAAATGCTCAGACCAAAACCTGTCATTTTGACAGTTCGATAGTTTTTTTGTCCAGTTAATGAGCACAAATCGAAAATCAGTAGTGACATTTTTGAGCCAAAAAAACAGAATGAAAAGTTTGGGAAACTGCTGACAAAACGGATGGTAAATTAAATGATAAATAAAAACATATTTATTTATGCCCATTGAACAATTTATTGTTAGAAAATTGATCATTACATGATTGCCAATATTGTTTGCTCTCACTGTGTGTTCATTTTTCAAAAACGCGTTTGAACGTTTTTTTGACTAGTGTGCAGCTGGCATAAGTATTTTTTTTTTTTTTTTTTTTCAGTCTAGCCTTATTTAAAAACATTTCCATTTAGCAACAGACTGGCTTTAATGTTCAGCCTGGGCCCAGGATCCAAGAGGGCTCGACAAAGACAAAAGATTGGTATTCAAAGTGTTTAATCTGTTATTTCTTTATTCCTTAAACTTTGTTTATAAGTTTTTGTGTGTTTTACTCTTGCAGACTTGTTGCTTATTTTATACTACTGGAAGGCGATCGGTGATAAATATTTTGTGACGCATCATGTGGCAGCTCTGTATGCTTACTACTATGTACTGGTGAGTGCCATATGTCCTTATACTGCAGTTTTACAAGCGGACAAGTTGGTGAGGTTGGCCATGAATGAACTTTTCAGACACAATGCTCTAATGTAATGTAAGATCAGCATGTCTTAATACCCTATAATACTTTAAATCCTAATTAGATTAACAAGAGCTTAAAACACTAAGTAAAGTCGGATTGTATAAACTGGTTGTTTCATTTATGCACTCTAGTAATATGAAGGCCCAGTGTCCAAGGGGACAAGTCAATAAGTGGTGCAACAGTTCCGTAAAAGTCCACATGCATAGACAAGGACTTTCTAACATCGATTGTGAGATGCATCAGTACACAGCAATTACTTCAATAAAATGTTTTATAGCGACGGGCAAGTTGACTTCAATCCAGCATCATATTGAGCTGCAAGTATGATTTTATTAAAAACGCAAACAGAAATCCAGTCTAAAAGGTAGGCATACCTATACATTTCTGTATGTTAGGGAGTTAATAGTGACAGCTTGCTTTAATGAGAGATATGTGTTTATCAAACTGGTTTTATAGCAGTGGCTAAAGCCAGCCAGACTTGGATTGAAAATCGATCGGTTCAGCAGTCTACCAACTGACTTCTGTACAACCATTCTGTAGGATTTTTTCCATTCGATTAGTGCTGCTGACTATAGCTGGTAGCACTGATTAGTATATTCTTACAATGGGGAAGTCTCCCTGCTGTGAAAAATTCAATCAGCGGGAGGATTCCCCATCCACAGTGAATGTGTGGATTGGGAAATTTAGTAATTTTTTTTTTTCAACATGAAACAAAACCGACTCATCTATGGGCTGCTTTATTCTGCCTACAGTATTCATTAAGATATCTACACCTCAATATTATTTTTACCAAGGCCCTATACACACAGGCTTCATGGTTCCGATTGCTCCTCGGGTACTGGGAATAAAATGGTGTGTTGAGCTGCATGACCCTAAACACATGCATGTGTGCTAAGCACCATAACAATGAATGGTGGCGCTTAAAACACTTAGTAAAGCCAGATTTTATATACTGGTTGTTTTTTTTATACACTTCAGTAATATGGAGGCCCAGTGTTTATAAAAAGGGGACAAGTCAATAACTGGTGCTGCAGTGCAGTGCCATAAAAATCCACATACCTAGATAAGGACTTTCCGACATCCATTGTAAGATGTGTGCTGAGCGCTAGAAACTACTTGTCTCAGCAGTGCCTGCCTGATATTGGCACTTTGGGATGTGTTTTCAACAGGAATTCAGCTTAGAAGACCATAATACAAGTGTGTGATCCTGAAACGATTCAAACTTATAATAAGAATGAGAGATCCACAGCTGTGCCCAGACCACTGCCACGCAAGCTGTCAGACCACACATCAAATATGAAAAGGTCAGCAACACAGTGTAGAGTGCTCATAAAATCTTCTTTATTAAAAATCCATCATGATTAAAATGGAAACCAAAATAAAGAAAAGTGCTGATGCTTTTCAGCCCTTGCAGGCTTTAGTCATTGCCTTACTCAGTTTAGACCTAAAACTACAAGATTAAGGTGTACTGTGTAGCCAGTGGTCATGTATATGAGCCATTAAGAAAGCAAAAGATGCTGACAATTTCATCTATGGCCAACCTTGAATGAACATGGCTTGAGTTGAGTCTTTTACTGCTTTAGAGAATGCCTACTTGCCTTTCCAGCAGTAATGAATTTGAGAATGTTTGCATGGAATGCTGTTTTTTTTTTCTTTTTCTTTCTGTCCTATGTGACATGAACTAATACCTCTCTGTCTGCATGAGAATAGTGTATTGGGAACAGAGTGGAATTTCCAATGCATGCCTTTTTTTGCCTGAACAATAAATATACATAATTAGGTGATAGATGCATGAACTAGTAGAAGTAGAATGTATTATAAATCATGCTGGGCCCGCATGTGCTTAGACTGTATAGCTATGTATTTGCTGTGTTAGCAAAACCTAAAATATCTTCTTTTTTCAGTTTTTTATTTGAAAAAAAAAATTTGTAAAAACATTATTCCAAAAAATGATGATGTTTCCTAAGAGGATTCTAAATGAAATAGTTTTGTGAATTTCTCAAGCAGGCACCACTGACAGTAGCCATCTCCTTGTGTACTTACATTAATGCCATAACCATACTGTTTGTTGTTTCACCACACCAACCAAACTCCATACGTAATTATCCATTGTGGACCAGGCTATTCCCATTTCTCTAAGCCACTACCCATCAATGATAACCCCCACAAGGTGAAAATAAACAGTCAAAAGATACTGTTTTTGTTACTTGCAACAGCCAGTGACGTGTTCACTTCCATTCCCACATATTGCTTTTAAAACCTAAAAAGCAGAACTGGATTGGTTGATGTAGGCATTAACAGCTCTTCCATCAGATGATTCAGCAATAGGTCATTATATACTTTGTGCTCTGTTTTGTTTATTTGAAAAGAAGGGCTTCGTCTTTATGTCCATTTTTTGTCCCATCTGTGAAACTGCATGTAGCTTAAATGAGTGCTAAAGACCTTCCATACAAAACTTTCTAAGTATATAGTTGTTCCCTGGTCAGTAAAACTATGACGGTCCCAGTCCTGCAACCCCTGCCACGTTTGAAAGACTCATTATGCATATCTTCTATTCCTAGCACACTGTGTCCTAGCTAATTGTAGAACAAAAGAGGAGTAAATGGGGTTTTTAAGGTGCTAACAACTTCACTCTCAGGATAAACAACAACACAAACTTATAAAAACAGAAGTTTTTTTTACATTATTATATATATATATATATATATATATATATATATATATATATATATACACACACTATATTGCCAAAAGTATTAGGATGCCTGCCTTTACACACACATCAACTATAATGGCATCCCAGTCTTAGTCCGTAGGGTTCAATATTGAGTTGGCCCACCTTTTGCAGCTATAACAGCGTCAACTTTTCTGGGAAGGCTGTCCACAAGGTTTAGGCGTGTGTCTATGGGAATGTTTTACCTCTCTTCCAGAAGCGCATTTTTGAGGTCAGGCACTGATGTCGGACGAGAAGGCCTGGCTCACAGTCTCTGCTCTAGTTATCCCAAAGGTGTTCTATCGGGTTGAGGTCAGGACTCTGCAGGCCAGTGAAGTTCCTCCACCCCAAACTCGCTCATCCATGTCTTCATGGACCTTGCTTTGTGCACTCGTGTGCAGTCATGTTGGAAAAAGAAGGGGCCATCCCCAAACTGTTCCCACAAAGTCGGGAGCATGAAATTGTAAAAAATGTTTTGGTATGCTGAAGCCTTAAGAGTTCACTCTTCAGTCACTCTTAGTTCCTTCACTGGAACTAAAGGGCCAAACCCAAACCCTGAAAAACAACCCCACACTTTAATCCCCTCTCCATCAAACTCTATACTTGGTACAATTCAGTCAGGCAAGTATCGTTCTCCTAGCAACTTCCAAACTCAGACACGTACATCGGATTGCCAGACAGAGAAGCGTGATTCGTCACACTAGAGAACTCGTCTCCACTGCTCTAGAGTCCACTTTACAGTGTGCTTTTGGATGCAGCTGTTTGGCCATAGAAATCCATTCCATGAAGCTCTCTACATACTGTAGTTGTGCTAATCTCAAGGCCATATGAAATTTGGAGGTCTTTAGCTATTGACTCTGCAGACAGTTAGCGACTTCTGCACACTGTGCGCTTCAGCATGCGCTGACCCCGCTCTATCATTGTACGTAGCCTACCACTTCATGGCTGAGTTGCTGTTGTTCCCAGTTGCTTCCACTTTGTTATAATACTACTAACAGTTGACCGTGGAATATTTAGTAGCAAGGTAATTTCACGGATGGACTTATTGCACAGGTGGCAACCTATCACAGTACCATGCTTGAAGTCATTGCGTTCCTGAGAGTGACCCATTCTTTCATAAATGTTTGTAGAAGCAGTCTGCATGCCTAGGTGCTTGATTTAATACACCTGTGGCCATGGAGGTGATTGGAACAACTGAATCCAATGAGTTGGAGGGGTGTCCCAATACTTTTGGCAACATAGTGCGTGTGTGTGTGTATATATATGTGTGTGTGTGTGTGTGTGTGTGTGTGTGTGTGTGTGTATATGTATGTATGTATGTATGTATGTATATATATATATATAGACTCTGGGTATGTTCCCCCTAAAACCATCTGTTAGATGGCATAAGTAACCATTTTGGCAACCGCATTCACCTTCCCTTGATGTCAAAATATATCCAATATAGATAACAAACATGGATTACAATGTTGCAGGTATTGACTAAGAGGAACAAGAAGGAATGTGCTTAATCCCAATGCATTTCACAAGATTAGCTTCTTCAGGGGTTCAAGGGGTGTACCTGTTAAGAAACAGACAATGATCATAGTATATATTCTTATAAAACAATTACACAAAAGTAGATCACATATACATTAAAATACACGTCTTACTTACAACAAAGATATCCTGGAGTGGAGATAATACATTATGAACTGGTGGGGATCTCAGAATGTGAAAGTGCAGAGAAGGAAGGCTAAGATGGCAATTGCGGAAAAACATCAACCATGCGCGGCAAGGAAACACAGTAGCAGAGTATGAGGGGAGTAACATCCATCACATTCAATGACAAATTGAACCTATTATAAAATAAGGAGCCTAAGTTTATAAACAATAATCATAAACCCCAGAAAATAAGCATAAAAGGCTGATGCAAAACAAAGTATAAAACATAGTATATTTGAGCCTGAAATACTGAGATTTAATACCTGAATGATCAAGGGCATAGTGAAAGAGAGTGTCCCAGCTAATTTAAGTAGAATATCCTCTGCAATTTTTGTCTTGGTTGTGCAAATGTTGGCCAACTGTTAGATAACATCAAGCTTTAAAATCAAAGATTATAAACTAAAGAACAGTGTTTAAAAATAGCATATGTAATGACAATTTAATATGAGCATCTAATTTGCCTGACAAGATTAGATCATCAGCTAACTATCCTTCAAAGTAATATAAAATGTCACCAGCTTTTCTTTTGGAGCTACAATTGGGCTTGGAAAGTGTTTTCATACCAGATGCGCTGTAATGCATATGAAGTTCAGTTGAAAAGCCTTAGTATTGAGAACATTTCTTGTTTACAAAAATGACAAATTTGCATTGTGGTACACTCACTGCAGTTGAGTTTTGCACGGCTTCTCAGGACCGAACGCATTAAGAAAAAAAAAACTCAACATGCCCTTGCTTTTAACTTTATCTGTTAGCTGACCTGAACATTAAACTTCTCAACACTTAACACATAAAAAAAAAGGAAAAAACACCAAATTGCAGTGGTGTGAACCCTTGTCCTTTAAACTTAGACCAAGTCCTAATATTACCTTTTTATTTTAACCTCCTTCAATAATACTTGGACCAGTAATTTAACCTTTACCCTAACACTTAATCCAATTATTCCCCTTAACTTTAATCCTGAAGCTAATTCTAGCTTTAACCTCTTATACCTAAACACTTACCTGCATTCAGGAGTTTTGGTCTGCTATCAGAAAGCGCACCAAACCCACAGGATATAATAGAAGTCTATGGCTTAGGAAAGCCACAGGTGCACTGAGCTGCACCCGTGGATCAGTGTGAAAGCAGCCTATTAACCCTTTTTTAAAAGTGCTAATAGGCCTTTGCAAAACTATGTGATGTTTATTTAACTAACCTTTTTCTCTTCCATCGCTAGGCTGCTAGAAAGGTCCTAGGCAAAGTGCACCTGGTATCACCCCACCTGGGACAGGAGCCAGCGCTACAAAGGAAGCTTATGAAGCTCCTGCTCCCTCCGAGGCTGCTTGCGCCAGATCCATGCACTCAGATGATCTGGGATGGTGGGTTGGCAACCTACAATCTGGGCTTGCTGACCAGCTATCCCAGAGCATGATGTCCCTGGCCACATCAGAGGGCTCCATAGGTCACAGGTTGAACTCCCCTGGCCTAGAACCTCTGTACACTTTGTATTGCTCTCTTTGTCCCAGTGTTGGGCCTCACTTTCTATTTGATGGGTGTCAGAACAAATAATATGAGAAAATCTCCCCACTTCCTGTGTTTTTGATGAGTGTAGGACAAGAGAGGTCCCCCAACTAGGAGACAGACATCACTAAAAACCTAGTCATCTACATTTGTTCAAAAGTGTGCCCTATGGGCTCTAAACCAATAATGCACTGCAAGTAGTATTACTAGGGGTTCCTTACAAAGGCAGGTGTTCTGTAAGCTCTTTGCTACAGCACTTTTCATTTGATTACTCGATTTCCCCTGGATTTATTGTAAGTACTGTCAGATGTAAAAATTGGTCTTACCTAGTTTTAGAAACCTTCAGTGAAGTTGTAGTGTCAGCTCTAGTTGTACAATCGTGTAACTAATGAAATAACTCCTTGAAGATGTTCCAAAGCTGGATAAATTACATGACTTTTCTTTACCTTTTATATCTTTGCATGACTTTTATTAATTATAATATCTAAACATTCTCTAATCTAGATGAATGCACAGAATAAACTACAAAATTATCAACTAAAATGAAACAAATAGCATTCATTTCAATCAATAAACCTCTTTAGCATGATCAACAGACTTATTTACTCATACAGAGCAGTGGGAGTGATGTAAAGTGACCCACAGCAAACAATCATATTTGACCTTGATCGGTATATAACAGTCGAGCAATAAAAGATTAGCTGCTGTGTGTTTCAGTACATTGTCTGTTGCTGTGTGCTTGTTAAATAAGAGTTTACAGTTATATTCCTCATTAATGATCCCCCCTCCCCTCATCTAATGTGTAATAGTTGTATTACATCTGGGCTTATGGGCTTTTTATATATTACCTTGCCTGCAGCGTCATGTTATGTAGATGTGTTGATGTAAAACACAGCATGCCTCTCAGGTTAAAGTAAATGTGCCATTGGGATAAAATAAAATTAAAAATACATAAAATGAAAAAAAAATGAATACAAGGTCATCTTTTGAACTGCAGCCTCGCCTGTCACTTGTGGCTGCAGCTCAAAGCAGACACCTCCTTTCCATATCGCGAACATTGTTGTTGAGTGATGTCAGCTCCAGACATGGCAGGTGGCCATTACTGTTGACTGCTTAAATCTCTGATACCATCTGAGGTGAGGGGAAGAAGACAAGGAACACTAGCCAAGTGATAAGGCACTTGACATATTTGGGGGCTGTTGGTGCAGGTGGCTCAGAGGGGGGCCTTGAGAGCATGGCTAGGCAGAAAAGATGTACTAGGATAGAGATATGCCCTGGCTGTCACTGGGCCACACATGGAGAGCAGATGATCACAGGCCAGGGTTAGTGGAGAGAGTGCTTCCAGTCTTTTACTGTGTATGTTCATAGCCCAGAGTTATGCCTTTTCCAGATCCTTGAGATTTATGGATCTTGACACAGCTTTACAAAGGCCAGTGTCAATGAAGCTTTAGTTTTTCTTTTCTTGAGGAATGGGGCCCAACCTATGATCTTGCACACTGGCCCACTGCAGAACACACCCCTGCTTAAGGGGCCTGTATATACCTATAGATTTCTTCCTGAGTACGCCAAACCTGGGGAGCTTGTTTCTGTGAATCTCAACAGTTAATCTCTGGCCTGCACCCTTTATCTGTTTGGGTCAATTGTGAGGCACAGGATACAGTAAGGGGGGGCGATACGATGCTAACTTATAACAGTTATGAAGTTATCAGCTCACAAGGTTTCTCTCAGGATTAACAGGTATTTTTGTACCTATTGAAGAGATAGAACAAAAGAATAGGATTCAGGGAATAAGAGAAGTCTGGATTAATTTACAATTTAAAGTAGAAAACAAGACTAAAACAATTATTTCTTAAAGATGCTGCCTCTCCCCTCCTTCTACCTGTGCTGCATAGCCTGTTTAAAAAAAAAAGATCAGTGTATATACTTTTTAAAAAATATTTCTGGTCTGATCACATGATCAAGAAGCTCTGGAGGAAGAACTGACAACGGAGGGGCAATGGGAACTGGCGGCTGACTTTACAAATTTATAGCCATTGTTGAGCACTCCCTTAAACAGCGGAACTGCAGCTGCTGGATCATGTGACCAGATTAAAAATATGTATTTACACAGATATTGTATACAGGAAATACTGAAGGCATGGAGTTGGGGAAAGGCAGCATTTTTAAGGATATTTGTAGTTAAGTCTGTCTTACATGGATCAAAAATTGTCCGGTTCAGCAGATACCGGTTAAATTTCAATCCATGTATGGGCTGATTTGTTGTACGCAAGTTGATCTATAGATCAATTGTGTAACAGGCAGCCTGTCAGGTTTTTCCTGAACAGCTATAGCTGTCGATGAGGGAATTTGTTCATTTTTTTTTTGCTTTCAACCCACTGGCTGAATGAAAAAAAAAAGAGAGAATTATGTATGGCCTGCCTTAGTATTTACTACTGCAGTAGCAGAAAGTCAGGGATCTCTTGTCTGGCTCTGCTATTTGGCAGAGCTGTGTATCTCTAGAACAGATTCTGATAAAAAATAATCCTTTGATAGGTAAAGCAGATCTTATGTACACTCACCAGCCGCTTTATTAGGTACACCTTGCTAGTACCAAGTTGGACCCCCTTTTGGCATCAGAACTGCCTTAATTCTTTGTGGCACAGATTCAACAAGGTTTTGGAAACATTCCTCAGAGATTTTGGTCCATATTGACATGAGTTACTGTTGCCTTTCTATCATCTCGAAGCAGTCTGCCCACTCTTCTCTGACCTCTGACATCAATAAAGCATTTTTCTCCACACACCTGCTGCTCACTAGATATTTTCTTTTTTCTGACCATTCTCTGTAAACCCTAGAGATGGTTGTGTGTGAAAATCCCAGTATATCAGCAGTTTTTGAAATATAAACACAAGCCTGTCTAGCACCAACAACCATGCCATGTTCAAAGTCACTTAAATTCCCTC